ATGAGAGATGGAGGATGATGGATGATAGGGGGTGAAAGGACAAACACAATACAACCATGCCCGAGGCATGGTTGAGGCGAGGTTCAGGCCATCAGGCCTGCTCTTTTATGTAACCAAGCAAATTTTGATACTTTTCTTTCACCATCTAATAGCGAAAGAAGATATTACTCAGGCAAAAAATCAGGCAATTACAATTTAGTTAGAGGTTTCATTTAGGATTGAGGATCTTTAATATGCAATAAATCCAGAACACACGACAACCACCTTTACTTCCACTCTGAAGGAAGGCGTACAAAGGAGTTTTTTGCTTTTAAAAATGCATGGCTTCGATGAGATTTGAATCTACAAACTTGGGATTAACAATCCAATAGACTAACTATACACTGTCGAAGCAACCTGGCCTCCTTATTAGGAAACTTGCACGTTCAGAGGAAAGTATGTTGCATGTTGAATTGCCATTGAACACAAGTTACCATGATAATGGCCTGATGGCTAGATTGAGGTTGTGCATACAAATGCCTATGCAAACGAGACCACATCCTCATCATATTCTACTGTGATCTTGAAAAGAAGGTTTCAGGATATCATCAACCCGAACAATTACAAATTACAAAATAACAAGACAAATGAACAATTACATGTTTACAATAATTTCTGAAATTAAATATCTCAAACATTACTCACCCTCTCTATCATAAAGTCAACAGCTTCATTTATGGCTGGGTCATGTTTGTTAGTAGACAAATTCCCCATAACCATTTTTTTTAAGACGAGACAAGGCAACATCCAAAAACTGAAACGTAAGGAACACAGAACAAAAGAAGAAATTTAGTTTAAAAAAATAATAAGTTCTTAACAACTTATCATAAGCAGAAAATTTTTTAAGTCTCTAGCTTTTCAGAAATACATTGTTATTAATATAATATTCTGAACATCAATGTTATAATTGGATAAAATTTAACATAAGTAAGCATCATGATAATTCAAAATAAAATAATTTTTAAAACCAAGAACGTCTTTGATTTACAAGAACTTTGTCTAAAAAAATATATTAACAGTTATTAATACTGTAAAATTATCAATAAAATTCAACAGAACACTAAAAGTGTTCTCTAACTTTTCAGGAAACTATTAATAATTGTAGATTGGTTCAAACGAGAAATAATAAACATTGTATTGCTTTCTGCCTGACAATTATGACTGAAGGGGTGTAAAGTCACTGTGCAATTCCAATTAAATTGTCACATCTGTATTCAAAACATACAAGCCACAACTAAATATGAAACTTATAGAAATTTGACAATTACTGGATAACAGAATCACTAACATGGATTATCTATGATTATCATTGCTGACCCTGCGCTCACATCCACAGTTTAATTTGATTAAAACTCGGAAACTGCTACCAGTCATGGCTGAGATACTACTAATGACACCATTAAGAAACAACAGGTCAAATATAAGGACAGAAAATAGTATCTAAAATAGGCAGGCATACTGACCCTAAAAATATTCAAAATAGAATAACCTCTAGAGACTAGAAGTTTGGCAAAATACCTTCTTACTATTAGCACATTTTAAGACTTTTAACAGTAGGAATTGCATAACTGTGTTTTTGGAAGTGTTTTAAAAGGTTTTCCTCCCCTCTTTTTGTCTTTCCTGATTAAGCTTGTTATGTATATTTTCAGTGTTCTGACTTTTTTTATTTTTTTCAAAAATATTTTTCATCATTATTTCTATCTTTTTCTCTTGAGACCAATTCTCAAACAATCTAGTAACTTCACAGTAAGCTTAAACTACATGGGGGCACAGTTGTGTTTTTTCTTTTTCTGCAAGCAGAGGCACAATATGTTGAACTCAGGATCCAGGGTTAAGAAATATTAAAAGCTGTGAAATACCAGATAGAATTCTTGGAGGTCTTTTGAAAATTACAATTGTGCAAGATAGAAAGTCTTGAAACAGATATGGAAAAAACAAACAAATCTCAAGTATCTCGAATAAGCACCTACATGGAAGATGAATCTGTATAACTGAAGATAGAAGTATCAGCAAAGGCATTGCACAATACTAGGGAAGCTACTCTTGGACAGCTGAATGTAGATTCTGCAAATTTTTGTGCCAAAAAGCCACCTGAAAAAGCACAACTTGTTTTGAAAACAATTTCTTAAATTCCACAAATACATCAATTTGTTTGGTACAAAGTGATTCTATAATTGGCAACATAATAAACAAGAACATACTTAGTATTGTAAGCAAAAAAAATGTATGGTGTTTTAAAGAATTCTCTCAACAGCTTTTGCTTCGCAACAACTTTGCTTTTTTCTTGCAACAGCACTTGCTTTAGATTAACTATTACAACCAAAAGAAATTTTACAATGATTATTTCTTTCAAGCAAGTGTTGTTTAGATAAAGCATTGTCAAAAGTATTTTGATAAATAATCACAATCATCTGAATGTTATCATTTTTGACACCATCTAAATAGATTTTCCAAATATTTACATTCATTATTAATTCAAAGCTGTCTGATACAAACTAAGCCAAGTATCTCATAAGAAAGTTATATATATTTTTGCATGTCTAGAAAAACCATCATCAAATTTTCTCTTTGAAAGTCACTGGATTAATACTTAGATAAAGTGAATAATTTTAGTTCACATTTCGGTTGCCAATTATTAATTGAATAATATCAATGAGATCGTCAAAAAAATATTAAAAATTACAGGTTTTATCATTCTCACAAATACCACGGACGTGCAACAAAACAAAATTAAAAGAAATATTTTATATATCTTTAATACACACACACACACACACACACACATGCACAAAACGAAACACCTTTTGGAAACCCATTAAAATAATGTATGGCATTATAAATTTATTGTACTGTCAATAGTCTTCGTTATATCAAGTCCCAGTCACCCAAGAGCTACATAACCAATGCACACTGACTAGACTCCATAATTTTTATCTAGTCATGACAATCATCTCATTAAGACAGCATACGTATGTACATGAAAGCGTTCAAAAAGCTCTGGGACTTGTCACAAGACAATACTATTTGAGACCTCAGGACTCCACAGGAATAAGGTTTACGGTTCGAGACTATCTTGAACCATTCTATTTTCTTTACATGTACGCAAATTGTTTTCATTCTTCCACTATTTTAAGATCACAAATGGGTACCGACAATCACATTCATGTTAACATTACCAGAAATTGTACAATGGAGGTGATGAATTTTATAAATGCCAGATTGACTAATTCACAGACAAACAAGTAGAATAATATGAATAATTTTCCAACAAAAGTAGTGTTATTGCTAGGGAGAGAACGTTTTGGGCGCCACTTCTGAATAAATTCTATAATCACAGGTAAAATTATGTTTTTTGAAAAAATTAATTAAGACAACAGAAATTGTCCTCAAGAGTCCAAAGCGGTTTAATCCGAATATGTTTAGTGAAGCTCCAGAATACTAACTACGTATTTTTTTCTTTTATTACACATAGTGGAATTATAAATAAAGGTACTAACAAGTGGTTGAGAACATTTGCTATCTAGCTGAGTAATAGAAAATGTGTTTGCATTGACTAACAACTACACAGTTGACTTAGTAGTATTGCTGACATCACATCTACTCCAGTAGCGTAACGTTAGGGGCCGCAATGCAGGTGAGCCCAGGTAAAAGACGGCCTATTGTCAGGGAATATTTTTATTAACGTAATAATACTACTTGTTTTGGCTATAGTTCTCAAAGGGGACCTGGATAAAAGTTTTGCCAGTGGGCCTGCACTTATTTTGTTACGCTACTGATGTCTCCTACTCCTCCTGCAACCAGTAAACAGAGAGCTCGGCAAAACTGGTTCACAGTGAAGTATTTACCATCCAAAAAATAATGGAAAAATTGGTTCAATGCAAAACTTTTACAACAACAATGATTTTAATATTGAAACAATGTTCTTATTGCAAACTTTATTAACACAGTCAAGAGATTTAACAGACAATTTCCTTATGTTTAGGTCTCTTATTTAATGAAATATTTTTCTAAATTGTAATTGAAATGGTTTCCTTGCATCAAACCATTTGTGGGGTGATATTCTTTTAAAAACAATTTACTCGAATGACAGCACGACTTTACCCTGCAATATAAGGTTTATATATGACTGGCTTAGTTTAAAAATACACTAAATCTCACCTAAAGAAGTTCCAAAAATATGCACTTTAGGCAGACCTAGATAATCAAGTAATTTTCGAAATCCTTCACACCACTCTGCAGTTGTCCAATACACTGGATGTTCAGCCTAGAAACATTAAGAAAATAAAACATTGTAGGTAAAGTAAAATAGTAGTTAATAAAACGTAAGGGTATTTTAGAACAGACTAATGCTCTAATAAGAGTAAACTAAATTACTGATTTAAAATTAACTTAAAGTTTACCAAATGTTTTATTGTAAAACACATTTATTAAAGGAAAACAAGATTCAGCAAACAAACAGAAATTCAGATATATAGTAAAAATTAGATGAGACTAGGTTTACAGCTAATTGATTTCTGTCTTTAAACAACTTAATACTAACGAGTGGGTTATTTACACAAATCATCATGAAAAGCAAATTACTTTTTGAATGTTCACTGATTGAGCTTTTATTCTCACAACTTTGGCAACAAGAAATGCAAATATCCTAGGTAAAGCATTAAATTGTAAAAGTAAACCAAAAATTAATTCTTAATTTTGCATGCGTCAGACTCAAGTATATTTTATATAAATCACAGAGGCCAAAGAGTGTAGTCTTTCACCAACTTGGAGATGAGATATGAAGTGTCAACTTGGACCTTAAGTATTTTGGATTAAAATGACTCAACAACAACAACAACAAAAAACAAACTTTTAAACATCTAAAAAATATAAAAACATTTTAAACATTTCTCATTTATTTACAAATAGCCTATGACTAATTTAAATTCACAGCATCTTAATGTTGCAATTTAAAATGTCACCAACTTTAACAAAGCAAAATTATAATTTCTGTAGTAATTGTTGTTTTTTATAGTAATTGTTTTGTTTTCTTGAGGATGATTATGATTAACCTTGACGTTGCTTTACAGTTTTGTCAACATTTAGTTTTAATTCATTTAATGACAAGTAAGTTTTTGGTATATTTAAAAATTTTGTCAGATTACTTAAGTTGGGCCAATTACAGCACAAACTCGTTAACCCAGACCATTTTTGGAAAAAAATACTATTTAGCATAGTAAATGAACATTTGTTTTACAGACCGCTATTCTCAGTACATACATTTATTTTTAACTTCATATATTACATGAATTCACTTGTCAGCGGTCAACTTCATTGCCCTCACTCCACTTGCCAACCATCCTTCCTCTCCCACACTTTTAGCAATGGGCAGTGGGGAAACGGGGAGGGGAGGAAGTGGCCCTGACGATTCTCTGGGCATTTTTGGGGTTACTGGCTAGTTTGACCCGATGTGTATTGTGTACAATATAATTACATATTACAATGTGTTTCTAGGTGAAAGTGTACCAATAATAATTTTTAAACTTCATTAAAAATCTGTTTGGAAGTCCAGGTTCTTTTTTTATTGTTTATTCCGCATCCTCTGGGTAACCCGGATTTTCATTGAGTCTGGCTGGCTCTGGTCCCAGTTGATCTGAGTTATTGAGGTTCTACTTTACTTATTATAGCAGTAATATCTGAATAAGAAATTACAGAGAAGTCAGAGGAAATCAAATTGGATCAAGTTATTTTGTAAATTTAAATTAGATCGTGTAGCCATATACTAAAAAAAAGGAATTCTTTATTAATGAAGCTTAAATTAATCGCACTTTTCTGCCATATTAGTAATTAGATAAGATAGGAAGTTCTGAATAAGAGTGTTCTGCAGGAGGGAGATTCTGATATCATTCTAAAGATCTATTTAAATTCATGGAGAATATAAGCTTTCGATGTGAAATTATTCTTTCTCATAAAATGAAGATTAATATAATAATACCAATTAATGAGATAGTTGAATCTAATGAAGATAAAATATTTCATGAGGTATAAGCATCTGGATTGTCGGAATATCATCGAGGTATTCCTGCTAGTCCAAGGAGGGTCCAATGTTTCTAGCACTGATCCCTGTGGCACTCCTATAGTGATTCAGAACTAGTTTAACTTTAAATCATGTATTTTCAGAATATCAGAAAATTTTTGTACATAACTAAATTACATCCTTTACGAATGATTTTATGAGCTCATTAATTTGACCTGTAATTCCATTTGCTAGCAACATTTACTGAGACACACCATCAAATGCCTTAGTCAATGAATATACCTACTGCTTTTCTCTTTGCTTCCAAATTTCCAAGAATTTCATGAATGAATTCAACAGCAGTAGTTGTAGTGACATTTCCCAAAACAATTGTGACATATTAAGGATATTATTAGCCTCCAGAAAGTTACTGAGCCTCACTACAATAACTTTTTCATAAAGTCAGTTAAAAAAAAAGGGTGAGTGTTACAGGACTATAATTCCTTACATCCTGTATACCTTTTTCCTTATCTAATGATCTCACAGAGCTGGTTTTTATGGAGTCTGGAAATGTGAACGCAGATAGAGATGAATTTATTGGATAAAATAAAAATATAAATAGGGGCAGGCTTATGTTTTTTGAGAATGATAGAACGTATTTCTTCTAATCCTAGTGAGTAACTATTTATAACCATAGTAATTCAACATATTAATTAATTTCATAACAACATAAGATTATTTCCAGATTTAACAATTCCACACATTAATTCTATAACAACATACGATGATTCATACACTTGTACTGTCATACTCATTTTCAGTAACTTTAGTTAGCCATCAAAGTGACAAAGAGTGCCACATTGGTGGCATGTTTTGTAAATTTCAGAAATTCATTGAACAGAAAAATTAAATTTATAAAATGATGCCCCCTAGAATAAGGGTTCTCCTAAACTTACTGACAAAATTATCACATGAATTTTTTTGTGGGAATTTTGGTAAGAGGCATGAATTATTAGATTAACAAATTATAATGAGCTTCCTTTTTACCGCTATCACACGAATTCCTTTGGCATGTAGAGAAAGAACTTGTTTATAAAACACATCTGCAGTGCCACTGACAGGAGGTAGGCAGATGAGAGGTGTTTTCACAGACTTTGGTCCTGAATCGTATATCTTCCAAACCTGAAAAAAAACGTACATACATGCGTGAAAAACGAAAAATAATACTTTAGTGGAAAATACATAATATTTATGGTTACCTTTGAAGTATTGTTGTCTACAATGATTTTACGTAGTGGAATACTACTTCTAAAGCTTAGATATTCCTGTGACCTGGATAGGTCGCTAATGAAACACATCACTGTAACTCGTAAAAATTCTTCCAAAAATGAAAAAATAAATTAAAAAAAATCAATGGACATCTGTCATAAATACATGGAATGTTTCATGCCGCTGTCTGTCCAGGGTGTTTACAAAAATTAATATTAACACATAAACAGAAACACATGATAAACAGAAGAGAGCACACATCAAAGGTTGTCAAAGGTTACTTCATTCTCAGAAATTGTATTACTAGTGTCAAAGAGTAAATATTTTATTTACGATATGCATGCCACACCTTTCAAAATTGTAAGGCGGGATATACGAACAGTTTCACGTTCTATTAAATCATCATTCTATTTTTTGAATTATTTCCTGAATTTGAGGATGAGGTATTTAAACGAAATGTTACATTAACTAACTGTGCACCCTGTCGTTTAAATTATATCGTCAAGAGCACGATAATGAAGCTGAGAGATTTATCAGTCATTCGCATCGCTTCTTCGCCAAATTAAAAAAAAAAAAAAAAAAGAAAAATAAACATATTATCTACATACTTGTACGAATTACCTCGTTAAATTTTAGTTTATGAACTGGGAGAGGTTGCTCTGGCATCAACTGATGTCACTACAGTGTCTCTGACGGGGAGATCTCAGGTTCGAGTCCCGTCGGCAGGACTTTTGACACTAATTAGATAGCAACTAGAGAATTCTAGCAGCAGTCTGCTCTGATCGGTGGTTTCTCCGATCAATATCAGGTAAATGACGGAGTTTTCCTGACAGTACCTTGACAAAGGGATCACAGACCACGCGCGATCTTTCCTTCCTCTTCTTAATCCTACTCTCACTCCTTACTTACACACACATACATGCACTACACTACCACACATACTGGAAACTGGTCGGGAGCTCAGAGCTCGCCCCGGCTGGGGTGGTGCCCGTCTGGTAGGAGATACCTGGTTGGGAAAATCCCGTTAGTCGACAGGCAGGTCGGCACCGGATCTCAGCGGGGAAAGATCACCGCCACCTCCTGAGGAGAAACACTACACTTACCTTACCCTATATTTACGTGACTAAAGACCTTAGTAGTTGACGCACCCAGAATCACTTATCAATCAATTAGTTTGTAAAAAATTAGCATATAATAATATAGCTATAATATTGTAATTAGCATATAATAATATAGCATTAGCATATGAATGAGTCAGGAAACATACTCAGACAGGTGTTATGGACTAAATTTGCTCATACTCAATTTACAAACGTTTGTCAACAAATTTTTAATGCATATGAACCCCCAACACAAAAACTTGTCAGGGTGCCCATCAAGAAAATAACTTGCAAATTTAACTTATTGAAAACACACTAATTACAATAGAATCTTTTTAGTACAGAAGATAATTTGTTTAAAAATTATTTTACAGATAATATTATATTTTATGACACTGAATATTTTATGGATTTTTTGTAGGGTTGAGCCTGAATGGACCCTAAGCAACTGCTTATTTTGTTTGTAGATTAATCCATAATGGAAGTTACTTTCCTAATGGGTAAATCTGGCTGTGGATACTACAGAACAAATATAGTGAAAATGAACTGTCATGGAGAGCAACATTTGACTCTACCAGGAACCCAACCCAGGACCTTCCATTGACCAGATGGATGTTCTTACCTTCCGAGATAGGGAGTCAAACTCATAGTCTATGTCTATGGTCAAACCTTACCCCTGGTGAAGTAAAAAAATTGCTTTTTGAGACAGGCCAGTTTCTGTAATTGTATTTGGTGCATATGCACTACATGGTGCATATGCACTACATGGTGCATATGCGCCTAATGCATGGTACATTTTTGAAGGGTGCTACTGGCAAATATGTTTAACTCCATTGTTATCTATAATAAGTGTTTCATTTCATTCGTATGTCATTTCCTTCATCCACTTATTTAATTAATAAGAAGTAATAAATGATGATGATGATGATGATGATGATGATTAGTACTGTAAACGGTGAAATAGGAAATATAAAGTTGTCAGAGCATAATATGCAACTAACATTATAGTTTCTCATTACTTAGTTGCTTTATTACAATAGGCTTATTTCAGTAGATCTACTATGGCTCCATTGTAATAGATATATTGTTAAGTGTTTTAATTACATTAAAAACACAATTTCTTCAGAAACTTTGATAATTAGAAGTAATTTAATCTTATAAAATTTTGAATCCATCAACTTTTCATCCAAAACTTGGCAGGACAAAAACGATGCATAGAACTATTTCTCCATCATAATATGAACAATGCTTGATACAGTGCAATTTCAACAACATTGGCATAAGCTGGTCACTTCAAACTAGCTGAAATCAGTATCTCATCATAGTTTTTTTTTTGGATCATTTAGAACTTTCAAACTTGAAGGAAAAGAAGAAGGTGGAGGATGAAGGAGCGGGGGGAAGAGGGGAAGAAGATTACAGAGAAGAAGGAAAAGGAGAAAATGGCTGCACAAAGCTGTTACCAGCATCACAATAATAATAATAATAATAATAATAATAATAATAATAATAATAATAATAATAATAATAATCATGTCGCTACATCACGACGACAAACAATGCTACTGAATTATAGATCAAAATTGCTGTCTCTACCGAAACATTTAAATCACTCATTGATGACTCGACCTAAGCTAGTAAATATTTACGATCAAAACCTTCAGCAACTCGTCCAGCCAACATCCGCGCAATCGAGATAACAAGTGCTACAACATCGTCCTACCACCAGTTTTGAACACGAACCATATGAAATTCCAGTTTGGATGTTGAAAAAGCCCAGAAGTAAGACTCCGATACTACCAGTATAAAGAAAACAGAATGCCTCCCCATAGATTTTAAAGGTCAGATTTCAATCAGTTCTCGAAGAATACATAACAAATCACATCATAATCTACACAGATGGTTCAAAAACAAAACATCAGGTCGGAAGCGCATTTGTAACTGAGAACTGTCGAGTCTTGGGCACTTCCACCTGAAAGCAAGTGTGGTACATTGCCGAATTATATGCAGTATTGCAGTCTTTTGCGACACTGTGAAAACTCTCGATTCAGGAAGGTTCGTCATCTGCACAGACTCTCTAAGTCTTCTTCACTGCAATAGACAGGCGCCAAACTGTAGATCCACTGCTACAAATAATTTCTTCATAGCTTGCATAAATTAGAACAGCGAGGAGCATCAGTTACGTTCATCTGGTGCCCTGGACACGGTGGGTATCCTAGGCAATGAAGAAGCCAATTCTGCAGCACGAAATGCCGGGAACATCCAATCGAGAAATGGATATTGAAATACGACCTCAGGATGCAAGAAATGCTATCTCGAAGTGCATCCTCACAGAATGGCAGACCTCGTGGAACAGTCTTCACGCGAAAACTACACCCCATTAAACAAAATATCAGTAAATTGTCACCAAATGTCAGCTACCTCGACGAGAAACAAGTGTGTTTAACCCGACTAAGAATAGGCCATGCAAGAATGACTTCTTCATACATTGTTAAGAATGAAGAACAACACATCTGCAGCTGCGGAAGACTTCTGACAGTGAAACATATTCTGACAGACTGCGTAGATCTCTCAAGACTTAGAAACAGATGCGGCATGAGAGGCAACATGAAGATAGATCTTGGCACCGACAAGACAGCAACTGACAAAACAATACAGTTCTTGAAAGAAGCCAAACTTTTCTTCAAAATTTAGATTTAATATATGATTAATCATAACATCGATCAGTAAAAAGGCTAAAGGCTTTAGATGCTAAGCCTTCAAACTAACAAAATGATAATAATAAACAATAAACAATAACAATAACAATAACAATAACAATAACAATAACAATAACAATAACAATACAATAACAATAACATCAATAACAATAACAATAAATAAACAATAACATAACATAACAATAACAATAACAATACAATACAATAAAAACAATAACAATAACAATAACAATAACAATAACAATAACAATACAATAAACAATAACAATAACAATAACAATAACAATAACATAACAATAACAATAACATAACAATAACAATAACAATAACAATAACAATAACAATAACAATAACAATAACAATAACAATAACAATAACAATAACAATAACAATAACAATAACAATAACAATAACAATAACAATAACAATAACAATAACAATAATAATAATAGATATTTATATTGAGTCACATATACA